CGGACGCACGGACGCACACAGGGCAAAACATAAGTCCCCGTTTTCGGACTGCGTCCGAACGGGGACTAAAAACAGTGAATAACTAAGTGTGTATTGCAGTTTGTGACATAAATGCTAGAATGTAGTACATAAATGGCACGCAAATTTATGCTAATTAGGCCACCCACCAGCTATTTTGGATTGTGGAGAACACTGAATGTACATGTGGCGTGTGACTGAAATAGAATCACAACACTGAATGTGAATGATGGCACAGACACGAAAACTGAACTATTATTGAATTATTCCTATGAGCTGTGTATCAGTCAATACTATCACTGTACTGCCTTCAAGCATACTTTGTGTTACTCATGTAATAACCTCATATTATCTTAGACTTTATAACTGTGTACTAAATCCTTAATGCATTATGAAATGAAAAAAATAAAATAAAAAAAGCGACTTACGCTGCTGGTAATTGTTGATTATTTACATCAACTGTAATTGGTGCATTAGATCTAGGTGCTCCTGAACTGGAGACTGTAGTTGTACTGTCTGCATTTGATGATGTGGATGTTGCTGTTGAAGTCGTTGTTGTGCCTGATGTAACGGCAGCTGTTGCAGTATAAGCCGGAGTGGCTCTCCCTATTAAAAGACAATACAAGGTACAATACACTCATGAGCATATATAGGTTATTAATCAGATAGTAAGGTGTTGTTATAACACCAATAAATTATGTATTTCAGAAAGCCAAAACACATGTCATCTTGTAAAAAAAAACATTTTATTTAACAAAGCCACTGTCTCTGAAGTATTACTGTAAAATACATTATTTTAGCTGGAATTAATTTTTGCTGGAAGGACATTTTGACTATTTTGTATGACATTTATTTTCAATGAATTTTTGATGAGTTGAATCTATAACATAGGAAAAAAAACATTTTTACTGGATTTTATTTTTTACCGATTCATCCCTACAGCGAAAATAAATACTTTACAGTATAACACACAGAGAAAGCATGGTTTAACATGGAAATGTCGCAAGTACAACATTCACTACAGTTCTAACATATCTAACTCTAATAAAATTCAATAGTTCAGACGCATGACCCTCCTTATATGTTATGTCTCGACAATTTCTTGGGATATTGTCCAATAATAGAAATATGTCTCTATTTCTGCCATGTTAAACCTTTTTGAAGTCCAAATACTAGCATTTTGATAGTGAATTTGTTTCCCCAGAAAGTAAAACCAATACGTGTGAGCAGAGTTTGGTGATGCATAAAAGACTATTATGAAAGTAAGTAAGTAAAAGATGCAGTGAGAAACGTAAATATCATGGTTCATTGACTTAACAAATTACAGAAGTGTAGACAAATAAATAAATTACTTACTTTACACTAAATGCATTGCAACCATTAATAATAATCAACTGTAAATCACACAGACATAAACAAACAACTCATAAATCTGTGACATGTGGGAGTGGTAAACATGAGGGTATTGTTAGGGGTTAGGAAAGATGGACACACACAGCACATGAGATTTTACCTGAACCACCATACACAAAAAAATCCAACAAAATATTTAATGCAGTGACAAATATAAAATGTAAATGTAAATCATGGTTTTGTAGTCTGTTATTAGGACAAAATCAATCTGAGTAAAAATGTATTACTGGACTTTGGTTCTGAAAAGAGTTGCTCAGTTGTAGGTGAATCAAAATGTCTAGTACAGAAAGTAAATGACTTTTACAGAGAGGTGAAACAGTGACGAGGAAATAAGTAACACACAACAAACAAAAATAAAGGTGTGCATCCTAATTTTCATGAAACACGGATTATGCACATTCACATAGTATCACTTACGTTTTTGTGTCAAATATGAATTGCAAATTAAATTTAGCATTTTCCCACAAATTTGATTAAGATTTACACTAGGATTTGATCAAGACTGATTCACTTAAGAAAGAAAGAATTTTCAAAATTAACCAAAGAATTTACATTTTTAATCAGATTAAAAACTAAAGGCACATGTAGCAATGTTCATTTTATTAATGTTGTAAAGATGACAGATGTTGGACAATATGCAGGTGGGTGATTCAGGTTACTCACCAGATCCCGACCGAGATCGACTTTCATTTGAAGGAGGCGGGGGCCTGGGAGGTGCTGGTGCTTGCCGACGTGATTTGTTACTAGACCCACCTGGATTAGTACGTGGTCTGGTACCCGATGACGACGGCATCGCTTGTGTACCAGACTGTGACTGATTGTGTGATACATCCCCATTTGCTTGGGTGCCTGAAAATAATTAAAGTAGACATATTAGAGGGCGTATGCATACATGTCTCATACCACAACTTTTCAAACAATGTATTAAACAAAACAAGTGGCGTATACAACAGATTGTTTATTTACATGAAAACACATGTTTCGTGTCATAGTAATATGGCCAAAATAAAAACAGCTGTTATTCAGCCATCTTTGATCTGATTATGGAACACAGAGATATGTATGATGTATGTGCCAAATATGAATGAAAATGGTACATAAATTGTGGAAATATAGTAGTAAGGCCAAAAAGTCAGATGGCTGTCAAACGGCCATCTTTGACCAGATTTTGAAACAAATTGTCATGGACATGCATCCTAACATGTATAAAGTACATGTATGTGCCAAATTTGAATGAAAACTGACAGAGCACATCCAAGATATCGCATAAAAAAACAAAAACAAGATGCTTGCCAGTCGACCATCTTTGATCCAATTGCAAAATATATCGTCATGGACATGTATCCTAACATGTATAATCTATGTACCAAGTTTGAATGACAACTGACAAAGCATGTCAAAACTACAATATTTTCGAAAAACAAGATGGCTGCCAGTCGGCCATTTTGAATCGAATTGCTAAATCACTGCATGTGCTTATGTCCCACATAAGGTACTAGGCACATGCAAAGAATGAATGGAATCGGTCCACAGGATTCTGAAATATGACGTTGGATAGACTGACGCACGGACAGACTGACACACGGACGGTCGGAGGGACTTCCTCAGGAACTCACGGACGGTCGGGGACATGTATCCTAACATGTATGATCTATGTAGTAAATTTGAATGAAAACTGACAAAGCATGTCCAAAATACGACATTTTCAAAAAACAAGATGGCTGCCAGTCGGCCATCTTTGATCCAATTGTGAAATAAATCATCATGGACATGTATCCTAACATGTATAATCTATGTACCAAGTTTGAATGACAACTGACAAAGCATGTCCAAAATACAACATTTTCAAAAAACAAGATGGCTGCCAGTCGGCCATTTTGAATCGAATCGCTAAACCACTGCATGTGCATATGCCCCACATAAAGTACTAGGCACATGCAAAGAATGAACAGAATCGGTCCAAGGGATTCTGAGATACGACTCCGGATGAACGCACGGACGCACGGACACACGGAGACCGAATTATAAGTCCTCGTTTTCGGACTTCGTCCGAACGGGGACTAAAAACAGTTTCATTTCCTCATACTGACAAACTTACCATTTGTAAATCTTGATAACACTTCAGAAGGTACCGTCATACCATCCAATGTAACATGTAAGTCACCACCTTTGGTTTGACCATTCTTACTCTCAGATTTCAGCTCTTGTTTCAATGTAACATTATGCACTGAAATAAGTTAAAATGGTTGTATTAATTTACCGTTTGGGACTTAATTATTAATTAGTTGGCTTTTGTTTTGCTGATAGTTAAATAGGCTAAATTAAAACACAGTCATATGTGAAGTTAACAGTAAAATGTATTCACAAACAAGTAAATTTAAAACCTAGTAAATATCATTGCAATTTCAAAACCACCAAAATTAAAGTCAGTGAATATTTTCTCCCCACAGTATAAATCTCACTTGTAAGTTGTTAATGATTAAGTTTGACTGCTAGCCAAAGAAGAATTAACAGTCTACGAATGCTGGATATTTTCAGGCTCTTTAGTTTGCAAACAGACAGTGAAATAACTGATGTCCTATCACTATTTGTGATAAATCACAGACTACATATCAGAGAGACTGTACAAACTACAAAGACTACTTGCACACACAAGGTACATATACTCACACTTTCCATTGTGTTTCTGCAATAAAGGCAGTATTTCAATATTACAAGAACCAAGTACCACATCACTTTTCACAGAAAAGTGGTTTAACACTTTACATTCCAATTTTGTACGGGGAGTCACCAGTCTGAAAACAAAGAACCGCACACAGTTTAAAAATAAAGACTGCAGTGATGTTGAACAGAAAAGCAGCTTATAGCACGGAAATGATCAATTTTCCTGCGTTTTTGTTTTGTCTAATCAGCAGTGTCATCATAATCATGATTACATGTTTGATTATGCTCAATCACAGTCGTGATTAGTAATCATAACTATCTACTCTCAACAAATAACCCTCAAGCAATGAACGAAGTGCAAATATTTAAATGTCGCAGGATTTCTCAATCATGATTTTGTTTGTAATGATGAATGAAATATTGAGAAAAAAATAATCATGATTACAATTACATGTTCAGTAATGGCATCAAACTAATCATTATAGCACAAATTGAATGCACCCCTGGAGGTGCATATTTGTATAAACAAAATGGCCACCAGTTAGATACCAAACTGAAAAACAAAGCTGCTGTAGTCATATCTGTTGGCACCTATTTTTGCTATTTAGATACATAAATACATAAAACTAGGAGCTTCATTAACTTACACTGTGAAATGTTCATTCCATTGCGGTGTCCATGTCTTTTTGACAACCTCAGTTTTTCGTGGTGGATGACCATCTACTATCAATTCCACATAAGGGTCAGCCTTTCCACTAAACCAGCCACCATTATCTTTTAATTTAGCAGAAGAAACTGAAAAATAATACAATGGATCCGATTAAATCCTCAGGGGCGGAGCTACGTCACAAGACGTTCCACGTTGCTACGACGCGCACCACTGTACATGCATTTCTATGGGCTCTGTGCGTGTTGCTGTGGAACGCCGGTCGAGCCGGTGAAAATTCGAGAAAACAACACAAACTCAACTTTGAAGTAATCCCGAACAACCAAATTTATATATGTTACACACGTAAGGCTAATCTTGTTACACTGTTCAGAGGAGTCTCAACAATCATCCCAAAATACCGTTTTCTGCGAGTTGTGGGCCTTTGTTTTCACCGCCTCCGGTTGCCAGGCGGTGAAAATGCCCAGATGCCCACCCCCGAGGATAAAGGTGAGGCAGGCATTAAAGATTTACTATAAAATAAATCTACCACTTGTTTGAAACATCTAATTATATTAACATATAACATCCCTCATAAAAGATAATAGCTGAGTAAGACAAAACTTGATGTCTGTTGCTGCCTATGTTGTATACTTAATGATATGAACTTTGGAACTGGTATTGACAGGACATCGCTGCCCATCAAGTACTCAAATTTATTTTGAATTGAATGACATTTAACATTGATTTTGTCTGCATTTAAAACAATATCTTGTTTTTCTTATGATATACCAGTAGTGAACAAGCCATTAAAAATGTTGTTCATCTTCAATGTAATTGCCATCATAGTGTTCAGATTCAGTGTTTCACTGACAAGTACATTTCAATGGTGATCATGTTTAGTTTTTAGTGGGTCGTTACTTATTGAAGCCATGAATTACTTTATGAAGCAAATTGATCATTATCAGATTCGGAGCAACAATGCCTAAAACACAGCCATATTGTCAGCCAATTAGCTGATGATATTGCTGGTTAGGTGTAAATAACAAATGTATGGCCACAATAGTCGGAATCTGGGCGAGAAACTCACGAAAAGCAACATTTTTTTAAATCAATTAGGGAATTTATAATGTGGATATTTTTTTAAATACCCAAACTAAATGAACATATAAAATATTTTATGAAAAAGCCACTTCCCATATGTTCTGAAATTGTCATGGCAACAGTAACACATACTTACTGGTAACTTGTAATTGAGAATAGGCTGGATTCGGTGACTGGCCTTGCTGAGTTACTGAATTGGCCATGGATTTCTTAACACTATAGATATGACTGATTCTGAAAAATAAAGTAAATTCCATTCTTACCATAATTATAACATTATAATGTATACAACATAGATTATTAATTATTAATCTATCAAGTAACAAAACTTTAAAAATTGTAAACCATGAACAGATTGAATTGGTCGATAAGCGTCCTTTGACTTAGTATGTTACTAGGCTGAGCTCAAATGCAAGTTTCTAGAGAGTTTATTAGGGACGACGTCAAAAGATCGATGTCGGATAAAAAACTTATTTCCTTTAGTTTGGGGGTGGGGGGGGGGGTTGACCTCAAAAAGTTTCCATCCCACAAAAACGATTATATTTTTTAATGAAGTCAAAAAAATCTTGGAGTATTTGTAGTTCGTTTTTTTTTTATCCAATCATGGACAGAAATAACCGAAAAGGGAAAAAAACAGAAAAATGGTTTGGTCCGAGTGTAAATCTGCATCAAATGAGGTACATTTGTAAAATCTTGTTACACCCACCCGACAACCAACTGCTATGCAATACTACTGTCCGATTATCAATTTGTATTTAATGGTGAATGTAGTCTGACGCCATGACCAATATTTATCAATTAAGTTTCAGTGGGGGGTAGGGGGGTTTGGAAAAAAAACTGAAGGAATTACGTTTTTATCCGACATCGATCTTTTGATGTCATCCCTTACCATGTCATTAAATTGATTTTCAGTGACATGCATACACTAATACAGATGGTTTTGTTAAACTGACAACTGTTCCAACAGGTTGTTCAGTGTCATGTTATGGTGGTAATTGTAATTATAACACAAGTTAATATAAGAGTAAGGATAAGCTAAGCTGAAATATCACCAAGACAACCAAAGATGTTCTGTACAGCAGCGTGTTTCAAGCACAATGTACCCATAAACAAAATGATAGCTAAAACAAGACCACACATGGACATATAATGATACAATTGCAGCATAAGGTGTATGGGGATTTATCATGGTCCATCACTACATTTTATCATAATGAAAAAGAAAAACATTATTGTGTGGTACAATACACATAAACTAAATAATATACTCAATAGTTGTATGTTGCCTGGCATGGAAGCTTTCATAATGTATTTTTATCTTAGTCACAATATTGCTGGTGGTACTATATCCATTCAAGCTTCACCATTGTATGTATGGCTGAGACTGGTGCTGGCTTTATTTATACTTCCCACATCACCAAAATAATAGTAATATTTCTTCCAGGAAGCTGGGACTTGTGTCTATCACCACCACTCATGGTTCCAGTTCAATTAAACCATGAAGGAAAATGTATGTAAACACTGGGGATGTAATTTATTCTATTGGTTGCCAGCAAGCATGATTTGACCCCAAAAAAATACATTTATAGTCACAGACTGGTGACAAAAATCATGAGTGATTCTTGTATACAGCAATCATAATACAAAACTCAATACTTACACAAATAATAACTTCTAGCTGTATCTGTTTGATTAAGAAGTAACTGATGAACTTCAGAGATACATGATATTTGTTTTATTTTTTTACTGAGAACTGTTCAAATAATCTGCAAGATACAAGTTAATTCAACAGATGAATATAAATCAAGATATAGTTTTGTTGAACTATGATAACAAAGGTTGCTGGAAGAGACCAGTGATCATTGTATGGTGTCAATAATATAACATTTTTTTCTTCTTTTTTTTTTTTTTAATCAGACATTTTTTTTATTTGCTCTAGCTTGTTGATTAGTTAACAAACCCCTGGATCATCATTGCTGTCAATAAACTGTAGAATAAGCCAGTCAATGAGTTAATGGATACAAATTTTATTAAACATTTGTGTCTGAAACATCACAACTTATTTGTGTTGCTAGGATCACTGATTGACTTGGTACATTCTAGTACTAATTATTGACTCATTCTGAGTTTCCAATCATAACACATTGAACACATTTCCCAGAGAGATTTTTTCCAGAAAAATATTCAATCTTGAAAGTCTTTATTATACTATACACAACTTATATTTGTTATTGTAACTATGTATTCTAGGAAGGCAGCAGTTTACTTCATTATTACTGTAAATTGCTTTAATACTGAGAAACTAATTTTAGTAAATTTCGCAGTGAAAAATTATAAAATTTAATAGCACTGAAGATTTGTCTGGGTCCTACTACACAGAGTGTCATCAACAACAAAAATTTTACTACACAAATGCAGTAATAATCATCAAAACGCAAACATTTCTTGCAGTGAAAATTAAACAGTTTACAGTAGAATGAGTGATTATTTGAAAATCATGTCATAAAGCAGGAATATAATAAGGACTTTGTATTCAGGTTATTTATGACAGTTGATATTTAAGTACATAGCTTTATCATAGCTTTTTTGCAGTCCCTAAATAACAAGATTTACTATTATTATCGTATCTGCACTTTTACGATCAAACATTGTATGACCCAAATCAAAACAAGGAAGCATGAAACATGACATCATGAAAGTATTATTCAGGTATTTTTCTGTATGAAAAATTTTATAATTACCAACTCGCCTGACGTCAGCTGTACCCCTATCATGTACTTGACTGTACTCGTACAGTCATCGATTCGGAATACGCCCAACGATCACAAGATAGTGAG